CCTTCCACGATTTTCAACCAAAAAGAAAAATCCTACACTACATCTCAGCTCTATTATTTAAAAAAAATTATTTTATTTTTTAACTTGATACTACCCTTTTTTTCGAAAACCTTTCACCGACCATGCTGTCGACAGACCCCCGCTTTGCGGGAATTGTCCCACAGACTACATTTTTTTAATAATTGACAAATTTACAGTTTTTAAATATTATATAATATATCTCTAAGATAAAAATGTATTTTATTTTAATTATTCAATTATTTTTTTTTTTAACTCTTCTTGAACTTATGCTTATTATACCGTTCCGTGAACAGACGTCTTAAAATTTCTCTCTAAAAAATCGATTTGAAATTTGAACTCGACATTTAATCTACTTCTTTCGACAAAAGAAATAGAAAGAAATTTTTCAAGGAGGGAACTTCGCTTCGGAACGGACGAAAGGCATCAGCACAGATCCTACATTTTTTCCAAGAGAAAAAATTAATTTCCAAGATATGTCGAATGGAAATGATTGCATGGGATTATAATTATTATGAAGACAGAAATATCTGTGGGAAGACAAAGGGTTGATCCGGCGCTGCTCTCCCACCCCCCCCCCCCATCGCGCCCACCCGGAGCGCCCGACGCGAGTGACGGCTCGATCGACGGCGCGCTCGGCCTTAGTCGCGTGCCGCTGGTTCATCGCGAGTCATCTTTGTGCGTCTTTGCGCGTCTCTGGAAGTCGGCGCGGGCCGACTCTCTCGAGACGGTGGTCCCGTTCGCGAATCACGCCGGTCCGACACGGCGCGTGATTCGCATCGCGTCGTTAGCATTATTAGAAAAACCGATGCGAAACGGACGTGCCTCTTGCGAGACGACGAGAAGAAATCTGCGAGTCCGAATTCATCGCCGAACGTTTTGTTGTGGTTCGCCGATCGTTTCCGTCGATCGACAGATCGAGCGTTTCCCTTTGAAGAAACGTGAATGGTTATCATTGTTGATCTTCGGATAGACAATTTAGGAAATTTTGATGGATTGTTAATTTTTGTAAAAGCAGTGGAGTGTCAGAAAGAATAGCGTGGACGAATTTATATATTTACGTCGATTACATATGTACGTAAAAACTTGCGTGATAGAATACATAAATAAATTATATAAGAGAAGAACTGTAGAAAGAGAAGATAGAAACTAGAAAAACATATAGAAAAACTGTGTTGTTTCTATATTAAAATATCAAAACGAACACGAAAGAAGGCTCATTAATAATAAAAAATAAATTCTAGCTGTGATCGAAAGCATTAAGAGTATTGTAATAAGCACATCTATTTCATTATATAAGAAAACTAATAAAATTTCAAAATAATAAAATAATATAAAATAATATAATAATTATAAGAAATAATAAGAATAGAATAATAATAGAATAATAACAGAGAGAATTTAATAGAAAAAGTTTAATGACAAGAACAACTGTATAATCGAAAAGCAATAGAAGAAAAAATTTTCTGTGATATAACGTGATTGACTGCGGAAATCTAGTCAAGATCTAATCTCTGTCTTGAGCGAATTGACAAGAGGCTGACTTTCATCTCGATACTCCGGAAGATGAGACGAAGTAAAACCGACGCATAGACATTTCGGTGATCGATCAATCTCTGGATCATGGCTCCGTCGAACAACCTTGACTGGTCGGAACCGTGTCAACAATGGCGATATCCAAAATTCTGTCCGACGGCGACCGGACAGAAAAACGAGCGTCCTAAAAGCTGTGCTGTGGAACTGAGTGGCAAAGAAGCCAACAGCGCCTATAAAAATTCTGCAAATTCTTACGCCAACTAGGCAACAAGAAACGTAAGTCTATAGTGCGATCGATGTAACTCGTGCATATCGCACGCGCGCGCGCGCGCGCGCGCGCGCGCGTGTGTGTGTGTGTGTGTGTGTGTGTGTGTGTGTGTGTATTGGTATCCTATAATTTTATAGCTGTATATTTCAAATATAAAATCACATTTCAAAACATATCGCAATATTATTAACCTTTGCTAAGCTGAGGATTTTGAACTTTATTAATATTGATCCTTTGTCCTGTTATCATCATTATGTGAATTTATTGTACCGAAGAAAGTGCCGGGTCTGGAGAATAGGGATTTCATATTCTCGAAAATGTCTATTTTTTTTTCTAAAAAAATGTGAAAATTTATTTAGAATTTTTTTTTTCTACCTGATCATAGGATTATATTTTCAACTGATCTTTGTTTCTCTTGATGTTGTCTTCTTGATGTTGACTTAATTTTTTTTATTTTTTATTTTTTTTTATTGATATATTTTTATAACCGAAGGCTTTCGATCGTTTTCTCAATGACGGTTCTCTGAGATTTTTTTGTACACTCTACGTCATCAAAGGATGCCGCCTTTATCTTACTATTCCAAAAAAAAGGATAAGAAAAAAATAGATCTATCGCTCCCTGGCGGGTCTTAGGACGTCATCCGATTTCCATGGCGATTTCTCGCCGATCTGATTCTCGTTCAAGCGATGGGCCGATCTTCGTGGTGACGTATTTAATAATGTCGTCAAGTGTACGTGTCTCTCTTTGTGCATCGAGAGCGCGTGATCCTCTGACATTTACATCGTCTCTTGGCGGTGTTGTGTTTACTCTTGGTCGCACCTACCGTGTGTGATGTGGTTTTTCTGCCTATTCGAGAGTGAGAACGACAGATCGAGAAAGCAGGCGGAAAAGAGAGACGAGAGGACGAAGAAAAAAAATTGATGGGTATCTGCTACCCTCGATACTGTTTCTCGCGAGCACACGCCGAGGGAGGTTCTTTCCGTTACGGTAATATAAAAATTAAATGTTAATTGTAGCCCTGAGCGATAATAAACGTAATACGTTCCGCGTAAAAACGATTATTGTATTAGAGACCTGTCAGTGAGTCGCTGACTATTTTTTTCCAATTTAATACTCTTCTTTTTTTTTTTTTTGTTTTCCCCTTAATAGAAGAATTATCTTTTGTAATCGAGCACAATTTCGTGCTGATAACAGAGACATTATGAAATCTCACAGAAGGATCTCACAGAAATTGATACATATTCAGCGGGGTCTGATCGCACGAGCGATCATCTCTCCCGAGCCCCACCCCTCGCTTTTCTCCGGCTTGATTAATCTCCTTTTTATTATCCGCACGGTCTATTTCGTTAAATCGAGCATACGATTGCCTCTCGTCGACAAAGAACAAACTCCTCCGGGGGACGCGCCCTTAAGTCGGCGCAAAAATGCCACGATGGTGAGAACCGATGTGCGGATATTCTCTGAAGCTTTCTTGCTTCACAGGTAGGGGCTGCACCCCGCACCGGGAAAGGTCGAAGCCTCCTCCGATGCGCGCGTAACGCGATAAAAGGAATCCGCAGCATGCGCGATGCAGCTGCCGCACCCGCTTCATTGCGCTTTTTGTCGCAAGCTGGATTTAGCTAGCTAGCTGACTAGTCGGCTGGATTTTCTAGCCTCGACTGTCGCTTGACCCATTTCCTCCGCAAACGATGTTTACTCGACATTTATTTTTATTTTTTATTTTTTTTTTTTTTTTTTTTTTTTTTAAATTTTCCCAAGAGTCTCGGAAATTATTCCGAGATCCTCTTCCTGAAATCCAATAGAAATCTGCCTTAAAAAAACAACACTGCCAATTATTAAAATAATTCCCTATCGCCGTATCCTGAGGTCTATACTTAAAGAAATTGTTTGTGAAAAAAACGGAAATTTGTTGTGACTCAACAATCTTAGGTAACGATGCTTCAACGTAGTCGACATGGCATTTAAAAACAATAAATGTTTATTTTATATATATATATTTGATATAATTTGGTTTTTTAAACATATTCTTTGGGGTGTCTTGTACACGTCATGATTTAATTTTGCCGGTGACACGCTCTCGGTATCTTGCCAATGCATCGCAACGATATTTCTTAGGAACGCGACAACATTTCTTTCAAGCGTGCTCTACCGTTCGGTTCTCGTGGCGACAAATCTTGTGCGAAATTTTACGTACCTGTTGCCAGTGGACAGTTACAATAATTGTGTCTCGCATCGTGTAACGCTTATTCCGTGAATCAAATCCGCGATGAATTAAAAGCATTGAGTTTATATAATAGAGCGATCTCTTTTTCATCTGTTATTATATTTCCAGTTAAGTGCACGAGATCACAGATAAAATTTCTACTCTGTACACTACTTATAAAGGCTTTTTACATCGGATTACTAAAAATCTGATGGTATAAAACGGCATAATCTCGCCAAGAAACAGAACAAATGATTCCGCGATCTTCTATTTATGGTCGACAGTGATGACTGAAAATGTCACGGACATGTCAGTCAGAAGGGAAGACGTCGTCCACGTGGAGACAGATTGTACGGTGCATTCGCAAATCGGAACCCTCTCACTCACCCTCCAACTCGAAAACAGGTGATCCTCCATTTTGACTCGAGAAGATTCTCGATCAGGAATTTCCTAACCCACTTTGTCAATAAAATGTAATTTTCGTAAAAATGAAGTTTAATTAACCTTTTTACTGTCAAAAGTTGATGAAGTTACTCTACACGCAATAATCATGTTCAAATTTTGATTAAATTATTTTTTTTATTATTATATCCTTTATGCTTATTATATGTCTTGATAGTAAATTTTTGATAATTATTAGAGTATTTTTATTATATTTTTTTTTTTTTTTTTTTTACTTTAAACGGCGAGAATATAAAATATAAATAAATATAAATATAAAAATCTGTTAAATATGAAATAAAATAGAAATTAAACGCAATATTTATATATTAAAATATTTATCATAAAACATGATAGTTTTATGATAAAACATTTTGCTATAGTTTTTTTTTTTCTTATTTATTGGTTACATTCCCCTGCTGCATTCCATGTAAATGGACAAGTTATTTTAACAGATATCTCGTCTATGAATCAACAACTTCTTATGACATACCGGGTGTGTTATAAAAATAGCCGGCGTATACATGCATCCGGTGCGTCCGTTTTTAACAGGCAGACGAAAGATGTGACGAAAGGTGTGACGCAGTTGAGGGACGGAGACAGAGCTTTTAACACAGCTAGGAATGCGACATAAGCTTTAGCGACGGATAAAATTCTCGCATGAAACGCGCATCGCGCGGATCTATTCCGAGCGAGTTTACATCGCAACGGTGGCTAAAATCGATTATCGTCCGCAACACACAGTTTACACCGTTCGTTCATCAGGGCTTCATCAAGGCTATTCTGCGCGCTGGAATTGTTGATTCTGACAATTGCCGATAGAAAGCGCTTTTCAATGTGTTCGATTGTACACATTTCGCTACTTATTTATCTTTGAGCAGTAGAGTGAATTATTATCGAAAGCCCGTTTAAAGCCTGAGTATTTTCATCCGAGAAAATCGTCGGGAGGAGCATCGTCTCTCTCTCTCTACTAAATTAGAGAGCCAAATCAAGATCGTGAAATTGCGAGTACGGTGATATTGTTAAATTTCCTGACGTTTTCCTCAATAACCAGCGCACGACGTGCGGAGCGATTTTATTCCGCTGGTCACGTGGCTCGAAACTATTAGTGGTGTAGCAAAAACAAATCAAGGATTAGGTTATTCCTGGTCGCCCGTGTCCGAGAAACCGCGCACGTGAAAATAGCGACGATTGTGGACGATCCGTGGTGTTGTAATTTATGTAACATTTCTCAGACGCGCGATTTCTTTTTGCGCGTAACTTTTTTCTTTTCTTTTTTTTCTTTTTCTTTTTTTTTCTACATTTCCACGAAGTGTGATGCAATACGGCAATTTAGCAGAAAGAAGATTTAGGAGAGAGAAAGGAAAATTTCTTAGAACGATAATAATAATGATAATGATGAAGATAAATTTTGATTCTCAATTAAACGCCTCGTGCATTAATCGATCACGTTTTTTTCGATAATTGCGACACGTTGCATTTCGTCATTTTACAGATGATCGTTTGTCGTTGATACGGAAAACAATTTTGCTCATACTTATGTTTTTCGTGAGAACAGGTGACGAAACTTTTCTCGCGATTCGAGAGGGAGGAAGGGGGGAGGGAGAGCGGGAGGGGCTTCGGGCGTTTTCTGCTTTTAGGGAAAGTTCGGTTTCCCACTTACGTTTCTATTTCTTCTCCCTGCACTGTCGTTTTCTCCGATTTGTTTCTATGGGTGGTGCAATGTACCCTGCAGGCAAGGATGGCAGCAAGGTAACGACCGTAGTCGCGACTCCCGGTGCCGGTCCGGATCGTCCTCAGGAGGTCGCATATACCGATACCAAGGTGATCGGTAATGGCAGCTTCGGCGTGGTATATCAGGCAAAGCTCTGCGACTCGGGAGAGATGGTCGCCATCAAGAAGGTTCTCCAAGATAAGCGATTTAAAGTAAGCGATTTTTCCCATATCTCCTATATATATATATAAATAATAAAACGGAAAAAATGAATTGAATAATAAATATATTGGGAACTTAATAATAGCTATTAGTGGTCGTTAAATTACGTGTTGAGATTACGTTTTTTTTTTTATACTTTGTTTTATTTGATTTTATTTTATCATTTTTATCGTATTCTTTTTCTGCATTTACATATACTTTATACATTTGTATATTTCTTATACTTTGTTTTTTTTTTATTTTATTTTTATTTCAATTTATTTTCAATTGTGTTGACTTGTTATCTTGTTTTATTTATTTATTTATTTAACGCGTAATTATAACAAAATTTTACGATTTGCTTTCAGAACAGAGAATTACAAATTATGAGACGCCTCGAGCACTGCAACATTGTGAAACTCAAATATTTCTTTTATTCTAGTGGTGATAAGGTAACTATCTTATCTGTGTCTTTCTTAAATGAAGATGAGTTTTTTCGTTTATCGTAAAAAAAATTTCAAGAATTCTTTCCGTCTATTTATCGAGAGAAACTCGCGAGAAAATGACGCAAAGTATGTAACTTTAACCGGTACAGCTTCCACAATTATTTGGCGCACAATTTTTTATCGATGTCGATTTGTTGCATAATGACGCATAGCTCTAAATTACGTGCTATATAAATAAAATGAGAGATGTTCATTTAATGCATGCCACATTGTTATGTTATTTTATAGAACGTCTTAACCGCGACTAATCCGGTTTTTCACGTTGACGTAAGTTGAAGTGCACCCAGTAGTAGTTTGTACGAGAGTTCTCCTTTTGGCGAGAGAAAAAAAACTCTAGGCGAAATTATCGCTTCCATATAGGAACGCACAACATCTCTTCACATTCGTATCATTCTCTCGAAACGTCATTTTTTTTCAAATGTCTTACCTTTTGATCTGGGCCCGATTAGATCACGCTGCTTCGCTAGTCTTGTTAGTACGTAACGTTTTCTGAAGTTTCGTGTGTGGTAATTAAATGTTAATAACACGAGGGCATCGATGTGTGTGTCCTGAAATAATAATCGCGAAACATGTAACGGAAACGATAAAGTGTTTTCTACGGAGTGTCCCACAATTCGCTACAATTAAGGCTCGGTTCTCTCGCGGTGCGACACGGGTTGTGTGACGTTACAGGCGAGAAATGACATGTAAAAAGTTTCTTGCATCGTATAGCTTTATCTTGTACTTTTCCCTTGAAAAGCATGACATTTTCATGTACTTTTAAAACTTGTAAAAAGTACCAGAAAGTAAGATATCTGTCCGATAAATCACGTAAAAGTGTAAAATAATTCTTGAAATAATGGTCACTGCTCAGCTCTCAGAAACAACTATCTAGTGATCTGGTGATTTCTGATAGCAGTGTATCATTATTTCAAAAATTATTTTACACTTTTACGTGATTTATTGAACAGATATCTTACTTTCTGATATTTTTTACAAGTTTTAACAATACGAAAATATCAGGTTTTTAAGGGAAAAGTATAAGATAAAGATTATACGATGCAAGAAACTTTTTACATGTCATTTCTCACCTCTGACGTCATAATTCAATACGGCTACAGAGAGACAGCCGAGCCTTAATTCTAATTCTACATTCTAATAATTTTTAATCGAGTCTAGATTGAAAGACAAAGATACTTGTAATATTGAAAATTTGAAGATCAAAGAAATAAAGAATTGATGAACAAGGACTATAAAAATATTTAAATTGGTATCGAATTGATCGGATTTGTCATTAAAATTTAAATTACATAAATTATGGGAAACTCTATAGTTCTGACGGTAGCACATTATGAATATGTCGTCGATGTTTGGTTTTGAAGTAGTGTGCCTTTGAGACGACAAATATTTGTAAACAAATCCTCGCTTCTTGAATTAATGTTACATGCAAAAAAATGTTCTTTTTTTCCTTCTTTCTTTTTTTCTAGAAGGACGAGGTTTATCTCAATCTAGTCCTGGAATACATACCGGAAACTGTGTACAAAGTCGCTCGACATTATAGCAAAAGCAAGCAGACGATACCAATCAGTTTCATCAAGGTGAGTTATTTTTTATTTCTAAGTTCATAATGCAGCAGAAAAATAGAGTCGTATTTATAAATTTACTTTTATTTTATTATGTAATATATTTCTTTATCAATCTTCAAAATATTACAAAGATATATGTCTAGCTGTGCATTTTGTAATCAATATTCTCAAAACCTGACTTATAATTGACTCTGAAGGAATCTGGAAAAAAATTCTATGTAAATAATTTTATATCTGGAAAAAATTTTCATGTATGAAAAAAGCGTTTTACAAATAGGAAGTACATGTTATAGACGATAATCTTTGCTTTTTCTTGTTCTTTGCAGTTATATATGTATCAACTGTTTCGTTCATTGGCATACATCCACTCGCTGGGCATTTGTCACAGGGATATCAAGCCACAGAATTCGCTTCTGGATCCAGATACTGGCGTCCTAAAGCTATGCGATTTCGGTTCTGCTAAACATCTTGTGAAAGGCGAACCGAATGTATCTTATATCTGCAGTCGTTACTATCGTGCACCTGAACTCATCTTTGGTGCTATTGACTATACTACAAAGATTGGTACGCACAAAATGTTGATCTTTATTTAATGTACCTGTTGATTGTATTATTGTTTTTTCTTCTAATTTGCATATATGTGCGTGCGTGCGTGCTTCGATGTGTATACACATACATACATATGTATATACATATGTATACAAATTAGGAGACGGATAAATATATAAATTATTTAAATATCTAAAATTTCTTGACATATATAAGAAAATTTATAATTGATAGAAAAAATTTATATAATTTGGTTTTCATTTTTCTGTATTATATTTAAAAAAAATTATGTTGTAATTCTTGATGTAAACATTCTCAATTTTTTGACAGATGTTTGGAGTGCAGGCTGCGTGCTAGCGGAATTGTTGCTAGGTCAACCGATATTTCCTGGCGACAGCGGCGTTGATCAGCTAGTAGAGATTATTAAAGTCCTCGGTACGCCTACGCGAGATCAGATACGTGAGATGAACCCCAACTATACCGAATTTAAATTTCCACAAATCAAGTCGCATCCTTGGCAAAAGGTAAAGTCTACCGTTTTATTTTCAAACGTAACTCTTTACATACACAATGTTATTAATATATATTTATACACGTAAATCCAGCGATATATTCTACGTATTTTTGTGAGCATCACAATCTCTTCGTTTTGTACCATATCTATGTCTATATCAATTTTGTGTCTCGCTGTGAATGAATGAATAATTAGTAAGAAACATGCCTTGAAAGTCAATAATTTTAATAAAGATAATAGATACGTTACTTTTGTTTATATCTATAGAGTATCTTGAAACATGAATTTAAAAAGGAAGTATAGCTTTTCAGACGGTCGGTCTAGCTAATAACGAAATAAAATACAAGTTTTTCAGTTAACTTTTGAGCTTAAGGGACAAGGTAGAGTCACATTTAATAGTGTAACATTGCATGAAAAATTATTCAACGTGCGCTTTCATAGGAAGAAATAATTTTTTCGTGTTTAAAATTAATACGATTGATGGCAATAGCGCCTCGATCGGTACCATTCATCAATACATGTACTCGTGATTTGCAGTATATGCTTCAACGAATGAGTGAAACACCTATGTGTTCCACGGAGCACCAGAAGATTAGAGTAAGTGAACCGACTTGCAACAAGTGTTGTTCAATATGGCTGGCACAAACTTTCTCTATCTTGGCCCGTTGTACTAACACTCAAAGTAACAAACCTAAACTTTCGATATCCGGACGAGCGTGCAGACTTGTTTCCAAACTATATATATTTAGCCATTAATTAAAGGAAAAGGAAAAATAAAGGCAAGAACAAAGTCTTGAAGATTTCCTTTACGATCTTCCTCACGTGACTCCTTATCGCCTAGTCTCGTCTGTTAACGAACACTAATAATTTTTTACACGCGACTTCTTACATTTTACATCTGTTATGACGACTGAAAATGATTGAGATTATCACTTACTCTGATGTTCTGGTGGTATTTGAGACTTGCATTTGCCAAAATTGAAAGAATGAGTAACATATTGTGGCCTTTCGTGTCTATTGCGCAGAGAATAGTGCTTGGAGTCTGTGTTCATCTTAGATATACATATTCACATATTGCATTGTACTTGTTCGAATATTATTCTCATACAATAGGCTCGTTTGTTTTAGCTGAACTTCTTGTACTGTTTCCTTTGCTCTTCACGTTGGAGAGAAAAAGATTAAAGATAAACGGTGCAAAAAAGTTAGCTAGAAGGAATAAGCCTTATATATGTGAACCATAAAACAAAGAGTTGTATATATCACAAGCACATCGTTTTTCGAATTGTACGAGTTTTTCATACAGTTTTATAAATCCATCTTATTGAATATTTGTTCCTTCATGGATACATAGTATAATTATGCTATAAAATATACAAATTGGAGATGAGCACAAAACATTGATGTTTTACATGACTTTCGAATAGAGATAGTAAGTTTTGATAATAAATAATAATGATAAATATCAATGTTTTTTATTCTTATTGCCAGTAAGTCATTTTATCTTCTCAGCAAGTATCAGATTTAATCCGAGGAGTAGGCACCGTTTTGAATTATATGCTGGATCTGTCAGACTTGGTCTATTTATCAAACAGATAGTAACGCTTGGAATCTCGGTGTTTAATCTACTTTCTTAAGTAAGATTTCATAGAGTCTGTAATGCAAAAAGTTTAACGAACTTTACGATACCTACTGAGAATTAAAACTGAATTTTCATGCTAATCTCTATCCTTGCTATTAATCATCGACAACTTCATAAACGCCAAGACACGCTCAACTTTTTTTTACTGCTTTATGACAGTGTTAGGCAAAGCGACACAAGTGACATAAACATATGACAAATCTTTCTCATTTCTTCTCATTTGTAATCATCGAGCAGTGGGCATGGATATCAAACAATGAAAATGGAAATAAAGGAGGCTTACAATTTTTTATTTTGTTTTATCGTCACGAGTTTGGTGGTGATTACAGGTGTTCAGGGCGCGCACGCCGCCGGAAGCGATGGATTTGGTGGCGCGGCTGTTGGAGTATACACCATCGCTGCGAATGACGCCGCTGCAAGCGTGCGCACATTCATTCTTTAACGAGCTGCGTGAGCAAGGCACGCGATTGCCCAGCGGCCGTGAATTGCCGCCACTCTTTAACTTCACCGAGCACGAGCTGCGAATCCAGCCGGTCCTCAACAGCATGCTGATACCCAAATACATGCAATCGGCCGCCGCCACCACCGGTACGGAGGGGAATCCCGGCGGGGGCGGCGGGGGCGGAGGTGGCGGTCAGGCGGACGCCACGGGCGCCGCTGCCAGTGCTAGCGGTAACTCTAGTGATAATAGCGCTATCAATCCCAACACCACCACTAACACCACCGCTACCAACACGCAAAACA